TAGTTTTTCAAATTAAAATATATAATTATATATACATACATAAAAATATTCTGATATACATAATAATTAATAAAGCAATACCTTATACATAAAAACCTTCCTCTTGAATCGCTCTAGCTAGTAAAAAAAACGCATCACGTAGTTTTAAATATTTAAGCATACACAGGGACAGACAGACAGAGGAACGTTTTTGTTTTATATTATGTAGTATTTAACGGTCAACACATATAACACAATCGTATTATTAGTTAATCGCAAGTTTGAGGCATTTTATTTCAATTAATATTTCAGGTTACCTGGTCGCGTCCATGTATTCCGACTGAGAGTTATGACAAAATCATTTCAAGGGACGATTTGTGTAAGTGCAAGCAGGATATCTATCACTTTGTTTTTTGTCTGTCGTTTTCTCGAATATATTCCAACGGATTCAGGTAAAAGCTTTGTGATGTGCAAACATAATTCAAGCTATACGTAGAGCTGCATATTTCATTCCTACCCTAATTCCGAGAATGTTTATGGTAATTTTACACGTCTGTTGTGCACGGTAATATTTATATGTACCTTAACAAAACTATTTATGCATGTAACATGTGCATGTGTACTTCTCTCGTAGCCAAAATTAAACAAACATGTGTATTACTAGTATTCAAAAACGCCTGTTATCAGTGGTGTATAATTATGAAACAATATTTGTATAGTACGGTGGTGGTCTGTGGTTGCTAATGGTTTGAAACTGAATATCTATTCATCAACTTCTATCTCCGATAGAAATCAAAATTGTTTAACTCAAAATAGGTTTGTTCCAAGCTTTAATTATTCATCGGCATTAAATAATAGTAATAAATATTTAAGGACATGTTTTAACACAACTTTGTCTAGTCCAAATTAAGCAAAACTTGTACTATCGATACTAGGTAACTGATAATCATACTTAAATAACTTTAATAACATTTATTTTGTAAATAAATATGTATTATAGATATATAAAACCCAGAAACTTGAAAAAACACGATGTTAATCACATAATATTCTTCCAGTAGTGGGGATCAAACCCACACCCTCTGGCGCAGGAGATAAGTCTCCTATCCCATACCCCATGGTCGTCAAATATTTCTGATAAAAAAATATTTTTAAATCAGTTGTACAAATATAGTTTATTTATTTGTGAACCAAATTTTTGCACGACAACAAAATTGCCTGGCAATCAACCCTTCATTCGACGTTTTAATTTTTAGATGTATTTACTTAACTCGCATTAATACTATTTTTTTTAAGATTTCGTACCCAACTGTGTTACTAAGACTATGCGGTCTGTCCGTCTGTCACCAGGCTGTGTCTCATGAACCGTGATAGTTAGACAGTTCAAATTTTCACAGATGATGTATTTCTGTTGCCGCTATAACAAGAAATACTAAAGAATAAACAAATATTTCATTGGGGCTTCCATTCAACAGATATAATTTTTTGACGTTCTCGTGCGCGAGTCCGACTCGCACTTGGCCAATTTTTTTAAATTTAAAATATAGCAATGAAAACTCGCCGATCCGTTTCACTAACGATTCGCGTACGTTCCGTGTACCCATTCAGCACATTAATCAAAACGAGGGCTTAATATTTCTTCACATGTTTTCTTCGTGCCGTTTTATGGAGCAATATATCTCAATACAACACTCTATCTTGCTTATATCGCGCGTACTGGGGGCAGTTATGGGTGCGATTTTTTTTTTGAGACACCCGTAATGTTGGCATTACAGGGTTGGAAAACGTACGTGTATTGGCAGTTTGACCTTGAACACCCTCTGTTCGTTCGATCTTAGCGACTTTTCAACATCGGCTATAAATTTTACTTTAAGAAGGTTTCTCTCTAGCAAAATACCGAACTAATGTTCGATATATAGACTTTTGCGGAGAGCTTCTTCTTTTAATCCTGTCAGTAAACACAATGAAGGCGGACTAAGTTGAACGAGAAACGCAATTAAAAGTCAAGTCAAAGTCAAAGTATATTTATTCAATATAGCCCTAACTTAAGCTCTTATTGAACGTCAACAAAAAATCTACCACCGGTTCACTAAACTAGACCTGCACGGAGAAGAACCGGCAAGAAACTCTGCGGTCTTGTTCTTTTTGCTATTTTTTTGACGCAATTATACACACATATTTAGGTATAAAATCAGCAATTGTTTTAATATACGTATATGATTAAATTATGTGCATGTTAAATCTTCTCATTGTAATAAATGTAGTTTTAGTTAACGGAAGTTTTTATGAAATGTTCCATACTTAGTACACTTACCAGTTTCACTATTCGGGGAATGGCTACGGCCCCTAGAAGGGTCGACGTAGAGTAGAAGTATCGATAGGACGACTCCGTGGCGCAGTTGCCAAGGTATTGGCTTCCGCATCGGGGGGCTTGGGTTCGATGCCCACACGGGACAATTATTTGTGTGACACGGTTAGATGTTTCGCGTCTGGGTGTTTGTCGGAGTGAAATTAATGTTGGTAAACGTAAGCATACGTTTATCAGTAACCTAGTGCCCATAGTATCTGTGGGTCACACAAATAGTTGTCCCGTGTGGGAATCGAACCCACGAACCCCGACGCCGAAGCCGATACCTTGGCAACTGCGCCACGGAATCTTTGTTAATTTTATAAACTAGATTTCTATATAGCTTATGCCGAATTAATATTTTAATACTTCTATATCGTTTCATATCTAATAACGTTTTTTTCCTTGCGGCAACATGTTGTGAAGGTTCGCACAAAAAGAGGTTCCTCTGCCGATATATTACTATCTGTTACTGGGAAAGATTTTTTGTATCTGTACATTTTTGCTACCGTTCATATTAAATTTCTTTTTGCTATTTGCTTACTGCGTCGATGCGTATTTTTGTAAAAAGTTACAATATATTTGATGTCAGCACATTTGATTTGTCAATGAAGAAACATCAATACGAAACTAGTGAGAAAATCTAAGTGTTGACTCGGGAAATATTTTTTTTCCATTTTTGACCCAACAATTGGTCAGTGCTTGAATATCATCTCACCTGATCGTATGCAGTTCAAAGTTAAGGAGGTGTCCACAACTTTCAAGGTCACTATTTTCAGTCCAAATTGACATAATTATCGTCATCTTTCTGCCCTTATCCCACCTGGTGGGGGTACTACATGTTCTCAAAGTGGGCGGTACCGCCCCCCAGTGGGCGCTGACTATATGAGAATCATCCGATTGAAACTATAAATAGCATCGGGGGTTGCTATATACAAATTACTTAGCCGTGGAAAGTAGGAATAACGGTACGTTGAAAATCCTAAATCTACATATTTCTGTAGAAAATTATACAAAAAATTTCTGGGGGGGCGTTGGTTAGTAAATTTTTCCTACAGTGGGTGATACATCAAAAACAGTTTGAGAAACACTGCTATAAGAGGTTTTGGCTAGATTTTTTATGACCGGCCGCCAAGCTGACGACCTCCCTTTTGGTTTGACGTCAGGCAATATAAAATCGACATAAATCAATTACCATGATAAGATTGGGGATACTACATAATGCGAGTTGTTTATTATAAAGCGCAACGACGTAATTCCTTCGTAAATAATGAAATCAAAGCCGGTTGAAGCAGTTACACTTTATTAAAGCAATCAGTTAATAACAATAAGCTTTGTACACATTACGCAATAATGTAACATGATGGCTTGGACACTGACGCCCGGTTTCTGAAACACTGATCGTCGTAGATGTCAACTAATCAACTGTTAAATGCTTTTCAAATTTCATTTGTGTATCCAAAAGGATGGTTAAACTCTTTGAATTGATCATTCTGATCATTAAAAAGATCATTCACGGCAATTCATAGAGTTTAACACTTCACTTCACCCTGGTCTTTTTGGCAACTAAAATGAAATTTGAAGTCATTTGACAGCTGATTAGTTGACATCTACGAAGATCGGTGTTTCAGAAACCGGGCTTGAATGAATCAATCGATAGGAGTAAACTGCGGCAATTGTTGCGCGAATTGGCAGGTCCCTCCGGGTAAGTACCACGTCCCCACAAAAGACCAGGGTGAAGTGAAATATTTATACTTCTGCGTTTCGTCTGGTAAGTGAGGTAGCCGGGGCCCACTTTAATAAAATTTGCCGATGCATCTGCAACTATACGGGTGATAAAAATGTCAATGGGCGGCGATTATCACTAAACATCAGGTGAACCGCCAGATAGCTTGCCACCGTCTCACATAAAAAATCGATCATTCAGAGTCTCTACAAAACAGGTCCATATGAATAAATGGGCGCATGATTGTCAAATTGAATTTCTCCACCGCAGTTTTACCGTGTTCCAACAAATTCCCGCATCGGAATTACCATTTTCGACCGCGCGATGAACGGCAAACCGAATTTGGTCGCAATTAAAATACGTACGCTTTAGTTGCACGTGTATTTTAAAATTTAGCGTAGTCCGTGGTTTGTTTTAAGTCGAATGTTTCACGGTAATCACTGCTGTTGCGTGAACGAAGCCTGTCTAGGCTCGTTCGGGAAAGGAATACGGGTATACAAGAGCAGGGTGAAGAGAAAGTATTTTACTTTTGCGATTCCTACGGTGAGTGAGGTACCCAGGGCCCATTTCCTAAATATTGTCAAACTGCAATCCCAATTGATCCGGATCAATTTGGATTTCAATATTCTCATATAAGAAGAAATGCCTGATTAAAATTTTCTGTTGTCAGACATATTAAAGATACAGTGCGGCTTATGTCACGTATAAAAAAAATAATTAATTGATATAATTTGAGCATATATATGCTTGTAAATTTGAGTCTGATTGAAAATGGAAAATTGTTGTTCTTTATATCATATAAATAGTATCTCAGCCTTACCCTAGAAGATCAATAAACATTTTACACTAAAAACGTACACACTAAAATAACAATTTAACTGAGATTGTTTCTTAAGCATTTTGTTAATATCTACGTTCCATTTTAACAACAAATTAGATGTTGCATCACCACTGCGAGTTGGCACTATCGGGGCAACCGGTCAGAGTCTGCATCAGTTTGACGATGCGCTTTTCGTCGGATACGATGACGTTGTTGTCTTTGTCGAAGGTCAAACTGTATATGTTCTTGAAGTCCAACACCTTCTTGAAGCCCTCATGCTTAAGGTCTATGAACACGCCCAGGTTCGTGCACACGTACAGATCCCCGTCATTGTCCTCGGAGATCTGTCTGACAGTTATCACGTCGTTTATCACAATCACTCTCTGCTTATCGTTGTCGTATTTGTAGAATCCGGTTTTGTTCGCGAAGTATATGTTCTCGTTGTCGCCCGTGACGTGGAAGTGGTCGACCTCGAACCCCTCGAACTCCTTGACGAGGGCGAACTTGCCGTCCACCTCGATGTGCAGCCTCTGGTCCGGGTAGCTGATGTAGAACAGGTTCCTTCTGAAGAACAGCGCCCAGATGTTCTTGCCGGCCTCCCTGTAGAAGTCGGCCAGTTTGGTCATGATGTTGTATTTGTAGATGCCGTCGCTGCCGCCGAGGTAGATCTCGTCGTTGCTGTGGTCTATCGCGACGGAACAGCCGCCCCTGATGCCCGCGATGTTCTGGAACTCCTTGGTGTTCAGGTCGATGAACGCCAGCTGGAAGTCGACGTCCGAATACGTCTCTGGTACGGTGTAGCTGAAGAAAATGATGTTCGTCGTTTTGTGCGCGTACAAATTGAACGGGCGGCCGAGATTCGCCCAGAGCACCTCCCTGTCGTACCAACGGTCGTGGATCTTGATTCTGTTGCAGGTTTTGTTCGGGGCGCTCTGAATGCAGGCTAGTGCGTTGAGCATCATGTACACTATTAAATTCATTATCTGTAAAAAAGTGCTTTCGATGATTACGATATTTATGTGATACTCGCAACACGCTTGATAAGTAGTTTTATCTACAAATATCAAGTTGGTGGATTTGCGAATGATGTTATGATGAAGAAAATTTATGTGTGATTTAGGTGTGAAATTTATTTTATGGTGTTAATTGTGCTTCACGCTGGTCTCCTGTGAGGTTGTCGTACTCCCTCGGGCGGACCGGCCCATTCGCGCGACAGTGAAGGATGTTTCGCGGCCCTACAACGGTTAATAATAGGAAAGACGGAATAGTATCTCTAATATGTAATAAATTAGTGCAACGCACGAACCTATATGCTCCACAGCTAGTTCACAATCATGACACAAGTATTATAAATTTCCCGTTAACTTATTTCACTTCACAGACATGTTTCGACCGCACGGGGAGATGACACGAAATGGACCTAATTGTTATTGATGGCGTGTTGATAAATTAAAGATTTAATTCTCAAAACAATTTCGGACTGTTATCGGGCATTGTAATTGTGTCCCCGCATTGTTCCGAATTACTCTCGCATCAGTTGTTTGGATATTCAATTCATAAACGTTATTAATTCAACTTATCTCAGTTTTCGTGTTCAAATGCGCTCGTATCTCTGATGTGGTAAGCTGTTTCTCAATGTCAAATGAATCGTTATCATTTTTGAATTTACAGTGTCTTTTAATTTTGCTAAATAAATCAATGTATGTACTTACTATTACAAACAAATGAGTGATTTATGGACTCAATGCAAGTTAATCTCTCCTGCATTACATACTGTCTATGTATATCATATTACGCTTCCCATCTTAATGACAGAACATACCTTTATGGGTATAAAGATAGTTAAATTCTTAAAAAATTATCTAAAGTTTTTGATGTCTTTGATTAAATTTACAATATAGTTGTCTTTGTTCGGGCACTGGGTTTTATTTCAATATACCCGAGCAACCTGAGTTCAAATCCCGTTGATAATGAAATTGTTCATTGAAAGTTGTATTGTGGTACTGTTTAACTGTGGTAGGGCCACGCAGCAGCCTCGGCTGTGGCACGAATGCTGGCAGGATCGTCCAGGTCGACCTCACAGAAGACCGGCGTGAAGTGGAAGTATGATACTTTCACATTTCGTCTGGTGAGTGAGGTACCCGGAGCCCAATTTTCAAAAGTTTGCCATCGCATCTGCACACCCTCGGGTGTAGCTGATGCTCATAGGCGGCGGTATTCACTTAACATCTGGTGAATTGACTGTAGCTTCTCAGTACATAGCCGTGATAGCTCAGTGTCCGGGCGCTCGCCTTTAATTCAATATACTCGAGCAACCTGAGTTCGATCCCCGGTGCCGGCACCAATGAAGTTTTTAACTTTAAATGCTGACTTATCAGGTGCTCCGCGGTGGAGGAAAACATCGTGAGGAAACCTGCATTACTACTGCTACTTTACTTTACTCTCAGTACATACATGCAAATATTATATATGTATGTCCACAAAAATAACAATTTCTTTTCAAGATTTAGTAATGTGCTTGACGTAAATACTAGGAGCAAGCATTAATTAGTTCTACCCTCAACTAGATTGCGTAGAATAAGTAAATCTTTTATGGGACAATGTATACGCTTTTAAAACAAAACCCCAGAAAACGTTCAAAATGAATCGGTTGCTAAATGCAAAAAACTTGTAAAGGAACGTTTGTGTGTTAAGGGTTATTATAGTATTAGTGATTATTTGATTGATAACACACTCTGGAAAAGAATTGATCGCTCCCGGATCTTTCAAGTGGATTTAATATATTGTACACATGTTTGTTATTTTTTGTCAAATTAAAAAAAAAAGTCTCGCTGAGTTTTTTTTCGCTGGTTCTTCTCAGGCTTTTTTTTCCGAACCGGTAGGAGAGTTTTTTTACTATCAATAAGTAAGTGTAATAATTCTATATTCAATAAAGACATTTGACTTGACTATGACTTTCAACCGCCTACTCGCTTGGCAACTTTCCACATATTAAAAAAAAGTTCTGACTTATTACGTGCTCAGCGGTGAAGGAAAACGTCGCAAGGAAACCTACATATTTTTGAAATAATAACAACAAAATATTTCGAAGATATCTGAAGTACACTAATCCACAGCGGGGCACCGTAGTGGACTATGCCCATATACCATCTGTACACAGGAGGCCTTTGCCCAGCAGTGAGACAAACATAGGCTGTTACTTTGTTTTTTTAATTTATGTGTAAGAAAATAATAGATGTCATAGTGATAATGAGTGACAATTAACGATTGTTGTATATATATTGTGTACCTAAAGTGCCTAGGTCATATTGATTTATAGAAATTTCAAGCCTAAAAAAGGATGGCCATATTAACAAAACTCCCCGAATATTCTTGTAAAAAAATAATAATCAGTAATTGTAATATTCTTGTCAAATTGGACATTCTTCCAATGTGTTTAATATTTTGAAGAAACTTTTCTACTCTTTTCTCTTTTTTCTATGTATTATACATAGTGGGGGCCCAAAATGAAATCCGCTCCTATATATCAGTAATAAACAAAAAAAAAAAGAGGCGGGCGAAGGTTATTAGAACATTGTGACTAGCGCTAAACTATGCACTTTTACAATACTGTAAGAATATATTATTAGTTTTTCAAACATCCATTGTTTTGCTCTATTTTTCTGTGGCTGATAAATATTATTTGATGTTAATGTAGAAAAAAAATAACCTCAACTTTTCGTTTTAATTCGTTTATTACTAATAACATTCACAAAAAGTGTCCAAAAATTGTTCAGGTGGTATAAGATCTTGTTTCCTTTCCTACGTGGGGTACCATATTATAGATATCACATCACATCACAACAAGGGTCGTGTGGTTTTTTGGTGTGGACACCAATGCATAAATTTATACAATGTATCGTTTAACTCCTGATATGTTTATGTCAGCTCGACGAGAAAATTTTACTATCCTTACGTATTGCTTGTAGAAATTAAAAGTTGTAATATGTATATTTAATTTAAATATATTTGTATGTATTTATTTAAAATTTAAATATACACTCAGCAAGACAAATATTAATTTGAATAATAGGAGGCTAATAATGATTTTCCTTGTGAATGTACACTGTGTGATTTTATATAAAAATGTGATGATAATAAATAATAATAATTTTAATAGTTAAAATAATATATATACAAATACATAAGGTACCCTGGAACAAATGATATATTTACAAAAAATTAAAGACATCATGCTTTTTATGTGTAAGATAAAATAAAATAAATATTCGATCATATAAGAAAAAGTTAAAACGGCCATGATAAGACAAACTGTAATAATGCGAATTCTGCGATGAAAATACATACATAAATGTCCCTAACATTCGAACATGTAACTTAGATTGCAATGTCCCAGGCACTAACTAGGTCTTATATGCGTTTTTATACAAAACTATAACATTAAACAGATTTGAGTATTAAATCATATTGGTAACAAAAAATACATCCCGTCTAAATTTCCAATGGAATCCTACAATAAGTTTATTTAATTGTTCAAATCGGCAGGCACATCCGGGGAAGTACCGAGACCTCACAGAAGACCGGCGTGAAGTGGATTGTTTCACTTCTGCTAAAAAAGAACTCGAAGTGATTGCCTGTCTTTTTATTATTTAACTTTGGTTCCGTTTACGCTTACTGTAAATGAGTTTATCGTAGCAATATTGGGCGTCCTGGCTTGGATTCAATCTGTAGATATTGTCCGTGTCTGAGTATAACAGCCGTTGCTGCTCATCGAAAGTCATACCGAAGCACTGCTCGATGAGGGCTATGCGCTTCAGTCTCTTATACGGCTTGTCCTCCATGTGTATCCCGTCGTTATTGCAGAAGTAAACATCGCCGTATGTGTCCTCGACGATTTGTCTCACCACAGTCTCGTCGTCCAACATTATGGGGAACTCGCTGGTCCTGTCCACTTTGTACAGGGCGGTTTTGTTGGAGAAGTATATCTCTAAGTTCTTCGTTATGAAAAAGTTGAACACCTCGATACCTATGTCCTCGTAAACCGTCACGAACTTATCGTGCTTGTACACGTAGAGCCTCTGGGAGGGGTACTCTATGTAGTAGAAATTCCTCCTGATGAATATTGCCCAGATGGATTTGCCGTCCTCCTCGAAGAACTCGGCCTTTGTGGTCCGGAAATTGTATTTGTAGATCCCGTCGTGGCCGCCGAAGTAGAGCTCGTCGTTCTCCTTGTCGTAGCCGATGGCGTAGCCGCCCGGCACGCCCGTTATGGGTTTGCACTCCTTGCTGTCAACGTGACACGACATAATGCCGAAGTCCACCTGATCGCCGTCGCGGATCGTGTGGCTGAAGAACAAGTAGCCCGAGTACTTATGCAGCACCAGGTTGTAGGGCCGCCCTAGATTTTTAACCAGCACTTCCCTATCGTAGTAGACGTCTTGAAAAAATATTCCGTCGCACGTAACCGTGTTGTGTGCGTCATACGAATCTGTTGCGAACGCTGGCGTGTATAGCAGGATGATAAGAAGCATCGTTTCTCGATCAAATTATGTTTGAAACCTGTGAATTCCAAGTTTTGTTAAAACAAAGCAGCATCTAATAGTTTTTTGATGTAACAATGCACATTTTTTTCCCTTTTTTAAAAACATAGCCCTTACTTTAGGATAACATTGTCCTGTGTTGTAAGGACGTTTTACAAACATAAATTTCACGTGGACAAACACCCAGATGCGAAACAACTATCTGTGGGTAACACAAATAGTTGTCCCGTGTGGAGATCGAACCCATGGCCCCCAACGCCTAAACCAATACATTGGCAACTGCGCCACGGAGTCATCATTGTTAATGTAACAATTTTATAAGTTACGGCTACATATTAGTTCTGCGGCTTTCCGTGGAAGCTTTCGATACTCCGCCACAAAGTGTTGGAATAACATCCCACCACCTATTAGAAACTCTTCGTCTTTACATATCTTTAAAGCAAAATACAAAAAGTTTCTACTTCATTTGCAAAAGACGGAGTAAAACCGATCAGATCGCTGTCTGCATATATTATAATATATTATATATATATAAAGTTGCACCCAGACAACTCAGCTCTCATAGGTATATAGGCACTCGTATTGTGTTGAGGACATGTTATAGTTTTTGTTAATAATTTTTTTTTGTTATACTTTATTTTTGATTTTATTGTTCCTAACTTTTATATTCCTTTTTTATTGTTTTAGTCTATTTCATTGTTATTTTTGTTGGCTGTATGCATGGAGCTGAACGCCAATCTTACAAGGTATCCGCAGAAAACCAGTGCCGTGGTATTGTTTGCCAGGGCAATATACTGAGCGGAGACCTTTTTGGTGCATACATTTTTACAATTATAATGTTATTTTTTTTTTTTTCCTGTAATGTAATGCGCCGAATAAATATTTCTTCTTTCTTTCTTTCTTTCTTTCTTTCTATATTTGTGCATACAAATCTAAATTTAAAGCTTGTCAAGCTAAGATCCTGTTTAGAGTCAACCTTCTCTTTAGAAGTGACAAGATGTGTTTAAAACAAATAATCCTTTAGCAGTATGAGGTGTAGAAAAGTACTCTAGATAACGGATACATTATAACAGACAAAAAACAAACTATACAATCATCGAGACGCAAACTCTGGGTACAGAAATTGCTCAAATAAATTCCAATTGTCTTGTAACAGACTTTAAATTTATTCCTTGCTGAGCCCTGTCTTCATATTGTCCTACAGAAAACTTTTTACTTTGCTTATAAACAACTACAACGTTGCAATTGATCGGAAAAGAGAGGAAAATGTGTTTAGTCCAATTACAGTTTCGAACGAGAGAACTGTTTTAATGGAGAGTTTTCAACTTACTTGTATATTCCGACGGGAGGACCGAACAACGAAAACTCGCAAAAACGAACAAATCAACCGGGAAATGTTTACTTAGGGACGGTTGACGATGCCAAACTAGTGGCGTGGACTGAAAACAATTGTTTGGGCGATCGTTTCATGATCAGATGGACTAGTGAAATCATTGCGTAACAATGACATAAGAACAACATAGTACGATGTAGTCAACAATCTACGATTGCGTAGTAATAACGGATGTATGCCTTAGACTGCCTCAGAAACTAGTGTTGTCTTACTCTCGATATAGTTATAATTGTTGATTATTTATTATTTATTATTATCAGCCTAGGCTTGTGTGTGTATCGGGTAAACACGCCCCTCCCGCTTTACCCGCTTCATGATTTAAAGAATTTTGGTTCCAGTATGATCATCGTATGAGTAGTAAGTATTATTCGAACGAATGACATTCTAATCGCGCTTGCTTTGATTTCAATATCACGTAATATGAAACCTAAACGCAATTACTGGAATTTCAATCAGAATAGGACGCTGAGCTTATATATAGATTTTATCACTAACTGCTTAGAAATTCGGCATTATCCGTCAGTATTACAAAGTCATAGGTGGTGAATCCGCGTGTTCACTTCCTAAATGTACACACAGGTGCGTTCACAGTTTTTTTGGTTCATTCTAGTATAGAATCATTCCTTTTAGATATTTTTTTTTAATGTGAAAAGTTGCCAAGCGAGCAGACGTTTCGCCTGATGTTAAGTGAGTACCGCCGCCCATAGACATCTGCTACACCCGAGGGTTTCAGATGCGTTGACAACTTTATTAAAATTGGGCTGATATTAACTAATTTATGTGGAACAAGAACTTTAGAAAAGAATTGCGCGGAATATAAGGCCACATGAATTGTTTCTCTAACTCTGGTGTAAGAGCGGTGATGTATAGACAGCAACGAAATTGCTCATGTTGAGGAGAATACGTTTTAGTTATCTTTTAAATTTGCCGCAGTCCACGTTGGGCGCCGGCGAATTCCTTTCTTCATTAATTACTTTTCGACGCTTTGTGTCGGACGTATCCCCTTACCTAAGCTCGGAGCGTTTTAATTAAACGTTTTATAAAATTTAAACGGGAAACCCGCCTTTGTCCCGTTAAGAATATTGCGCTGTTAATTAGTTGAGAGCGGCCGGTAATAATTTATAATTTTTATGAGCCGCATGGATTAGTAAGTAGTCCAGGAGCATGGTGTCGGATTACAAGGCATTGGGTTCAATCCCACTAACACACACAGAATCACTAATTTTTAACGTTAACAGAAGAACGACATAATGACTCCATGATTCGAGCTTGTATTAGTCTCAAGTGATGAGCTTATCGACATAACACCGAGTATAATTTTTACAGAGGTAGGCCACGCAGCGCTGTTGCACAAATGGGTAGCTCGGGAAAGTGCAACGACCTCAGAGAAGACCGATGTGCCGTGGAAGTGTTATGTTTCTGCCTTTCGTCTAATGAGTAAGCCAAGCGGGGCCCACTTTATTTAATGGTTATCATCTGTTGAACCGCGAGTTCGCTTGTAACTTTCTCACGTAAAAATAAAAGTTAAGCGTGATGTAACGATGTTGGTTTTTGTGACTTAGCGTCAACTACTTCACCACTGCTTATCTGTAAGCGTGATGTAAAAAAATTCCACGTCACGCCGGTCTTCTGTTAGGTCATGGTACTTCCTCGGACGGACCTGCCCATTCGTGCAACAGCGGAGACTGTTGCGTGGCCATTGCTGGTAACATATAACAGCAATATTATAACAAAAAATACTTAATGTTCAAACATATTTTACCCTGTATCAGTCTCATGAATGTACTGATACATCATATAGTAATATATATAGTAATATTCATCAAGCGATAAAGCTAACGAGAATTACATTGAAAGAAAGAAAGAAGAGTTTATTTAGTACATAAATAAATGAAAATTGTTTACAATAAAAAAAATATACAATTTCAACTAACACACACCTAATAGTTTTCCACTCAGCATGAGTTCACTGAGTTAGTAAGCTTTGTGAATGCTGATTTTCAGTGGAACCGTAGGAGGATGATAGATGGCGTAACAAATTAGTAATTAATATGTAGCCACATTATATTAAAGGCAACAAAAATACACATTAAATTAGAAATAATTAAAAAAATTCAGAATTACAAAACGAAAGAAAAAATTAAGTAAAAAAATAAAATTGAACTGTATTTAAATACTAGTGGGTTGTTTGTGCTCACTCAAATACAGGAGGTTCTCAATTCGACTGTATTTTATTGGGAACACACGTTGTTAAAAGGTAGCACCAATCGCTAAAACTTTGGCTTTGGCCAATGGGCAACGGTTATCACTTAGCTTCGGGTAAACCGCTGTCTCACTTGTCACCTTCTCGCAACATAAAAAAAACTAATAAAAAATAATGAAGTGGAGTAGTTTTTAACAAGTCTATTTTTCTTAACAAAAAACAAAACCGACTTCAAATATCTGGCTCTGTATTTTTGGGAAATCCCTAAGTATCTCCGGAGTCCAAGACCCAATACTAATGAAATTTACATGGGACCACATGGGAAGCACCAGATTTCAAATAAAAAAATAATCATCAAAATTGGTTCACTCAATAGAAAGCTGTGAGGTAACAGACATAAAAAATACAGTCGAATTGAGAACCTCCTACTTTTCGAAGTCGGTTAAAAAGTAAAAGAAACCATCCCTACATCAACTGATGGAATTTGTTTCAACATAGCGAGAAAAGTACAAAGCAATGAAAACACTTTCTTATCTAACGTCCCAGCGATATTTTCCCGCCATTGTCTCCCGGTTTTTTTCTTTCTTTTCACGATAACCGTTTGTTTCGAACCATTGTCCGTCACTTGCGCGTTCGTTTACGCACCGGGGGATCCCAGCGATTTGAATATTGCGATGGGATAGGAAACAATCGCAGATATTATATTGAGTGTGCTGGAAAATAATAACGTTACTACTTTTTTAAAAGTGTATAAGAATATGGAAAATAATTCTTTTCAACATCCTTTTAACCATTTTATCACGGAAATGTTAGAGACACAACAAAATGAAACACATGGTGGTAGAGCCACGCAGCAGCCTCGGCTGTTGTACGAGGGGGTTTGCAGATGCGTTGACAACCTTTTGAAAATTGGGATCCTAGCCTCCTCACCAGACGAAACGCGAAAGTATTTGTCATACTTCCACTTTACGCTGGTCTTCTGTGAGGTCGTGGTACTTACCCGGACGGGCCTGCCCAACGTGCAACAGCCGAGGCTGCTGCGTGGCCCTACCACCGTTAAAACGCCTTTGTGTAGAAAAATATTAACTTATAGTCAATCATAGCGTTTTTCATCAAATTATCTTGTTTGTGTGTCATGTGTTTGAACTGATTGTTTATTTTAACACCCGCCGCTTAACGTTTGTGTGTTAAAGGCTATATTAGTGATTATTTTAATGATAACACACTTTAGAAATGAATTATTGTCTCCAGGCTCTTTCAAGTGGAATTAATAATTTAATAAATTGTTAACTCTAAACATGTTTCTAAAATCGAATTCAAAATCTAAAAAAATCTTATTTCTTTGTCAAATTAAGTTAAAAAAAAAGTCCCGCTGAGTTTCTTTCGCCGGTTCTT